CAGAATTAATGCTCAAGCGGCTGGCCAAATTGGGCAAAGTTAACAAGTGGGATTTTTACATTCAGTAGTCAGCTAGTACGAGTTTTTGTACCTTACTAGTTGACTAATAAAAACTAAATGTGTTTTAACTAGTTAACTAGTGGACATTGATTTATCCACTAGTTAACTAGTGAACACACTGAGCAATACTAGTTAACTAGTAAGATATGAAACATTTTAACTAGTTAACTAGAGAGAATTTAGGCCTTACTAGTTAACTAGTTGACATTTAGGCAGTCACTATTTAACTAGATGACACAAACATGGCTAACTAGTTAACTAGATGACAGAAATGGCTTACATGTTCATGACAATTCTGTCTGATATCCTGATATCAGAATAAATGCTCATTTGGCTTGCCATAGAGTCATACACAGGAAGTTGATAAGTAGATAAATACATTGTCATATTTGGTGTTGTCACTCTTGAGTGTTTTACGGTATTGAGCGCTTACTACACTTATTACTGTCATATTTCTCCAGCATTACAGGAAGTGTGGTTGTTGCTGTCTTGCTGTTAGCTTGCTGTCATAGTTTTCAAAGGCTCCTTAAAGGAAGAAAAAGCCACGCTAGCATGTCACTGCACCTTAATCAGGTTCAGAGGTAAGACAGACGGTCAAATTTCTCACAATTTCAACCACATTCTACATACTTCAGCTCAAGTCCGAGTCTCACTGGGCTGCAGTTTTGGCAAATGTTTTGACACAAAACTGTAAATATGCTCATTTAAATATGCTAATTGTCATTTGAAATCACACGTAACACTTCTGTGTCTTTTATTTTGAAAGTCTTACACAGCTTACATGCTTGACCTCCTGTCTGGCCTGATCTGAGCTTGACACGTTCCGGAAGTAAGAAATAGACTTGAAGCCTAAATTTAGCAGAACAGACACTAAACTTCTGGGATGCCTCCGAAATGCGCCATTTTGTGGTCAGCAAGTCTTTGAGACTCTGAGAACCCTCAAAGATGTTTTGAGTCATTTTAGAAACATTCTTGTGTTGCTGGATTAATATTGATATGAAAACGTTACATGAAACACACGTCATCCCTAAACGAATTGCAAAAATTTTCACCAAGGATTGAAACTCAAGCAGAATTCATCATTGAGAATCAAAAAGAAAAAAAGTTTTAAGTGCAGTACTCACATTTACCTGATTTCCCAATAGACTCAAACGCAGCACCTTGCACAAAAAGTGTTTTCAGAAGAAACATTCATATTTTTAGTGGTTGATACATTTGCTGAGACACAAGACTGAACCCACACACTCCATATGAATATTTAGACATGCACACACTCATACACTGAACACATCATTAAAGAGACACACACATTCACTCTGAAGGCACGACGGCTTTCAATCCGCCCTGCGCTGCTATCAGGCCAAAGTGTGATTCCTCACCTTTATTCTCATTCATTTTTAATTTTTTTACAGCCCCCTTCATTCTCATTGTAATTCCAAAGGCAGAGCTCACCTTAAATTAACACCAGCCCCGAGATCTCCGTTGAGAATCCCGAGCAGATATTACAGCTTGCCAGGGATGGGCTCGGCAACGTGAAGAACATCTAAAATGAGTCGGATGGAAATGCTAAAAAGGCTTGAGAAACTTTCCACATTGCAGCTGCAGGAATACTTGCTTTGTTTTGAAACCATTTCCCCACCTTTAGTCTTAATCTCTGTTTTGGAGACTTGAATCATTTAATCGGATGCGGAGTGCAGTGTTCATACAAAACTGGAAAGAGCTTTCCTAATTTGTTTGACGATATGTGTTGCGAACAACTTTCAGCTCACGTGACCCACATTTTTAATTTCATACTGTGATTTTTAGCTGTCGTGGACAAATATTGGTGAAAAACATCAAATGGGAGGGTCATTCGCAGGTCTGTGGAAGTCCACTGTGACTGGCCCACTGCCAAACTATAGCACATTCTCACGACTAAATCTATCCACAGTCTTCAAGTAGTATCTGGATATCTACCACTGGTCTGCAATCAACCAATGAAAGTACACCTAGAGAGTGAAGCATACAGTGCAACATTAGCAGTATCAACATAAGCAACAATGAAGGCTTCTGATGAAGACCTCGGTCGCCAGTTGAAACATGTCAGTGTAAACTCATAACACAACCTTACATCCATCCATCCATTTTCTTCCTCCTGAGTCGGGTCGCGGGGGCAGCAGCCTATGTCGAGAGGCCCAGACTTCCCTCTCCCCAGCCACTTGGGGTAGCTCTTACGGGGGAATCCCAAGGTGTTCCCTGGCCAGGTGAGAGACATTGTCCCTCCACCGTGTCCTGGGTCTCCCTTTAGGCCTCCTCCCGGTTGGACAGGCCCAGAAAACATCATCAGGGAGGCATCCTGACCAGATGCCCGAGCCATCTCAACTGGTTCCTCTTGATGTGGAGGAGCAGCGGGTCTACTCTGAACCCCTGCCGGATGACCGAGCTTCTCACCCTATCTCTAAGGAAGAGCCCAGCCACTCTACGGAGAAAACTCATTTTGGTCGCATGTATCCGCGATCTCGTTCTTTCGGTCACTACCCAAAGCTCATGACCATAGGTGAGGGTAGGAACGTAGATCGACCGGTAAATCGAGAGCTTCGCCTTCTGACTCAGCTCTCTCTTCACCACGACAGACTGGTACAACGCCCGCATCACTGCAGATGCAGCACCAATCCGCCTATCAATCTCACGCTCCAGTTTTCCCTCACTCGTGAACAAGACCCCGAGATACCTAAACTCCTCCACTTGGGGCAGGACCTCATCCCTGACCCGGAGAAGGCTTTCTACCCTTTTCCGTATCAAGGCCATGGTCTCAGATTTAGAGGAGCTGATTCTCATCCCAGCTGCTTCACACTCAAACCTTGCATGTCCGAATCAAAATGAATCTCATTAAGTACACGCAAGAAAATTTGGATAACTACTTTTTGAAGTTTTTGTTTCAAAGTCCAATAAAAGATGTGTTAACACTAGCTTTTTTCTGTCTAGCCATTCATCATTGTCTTCTTGGGTATCTGTCTTTTAGTGACGTACACTTTTCAAAGATGTATGCTTATGATGTTGGTGTGTCCTAGACACTACAGTGAGATGTCGTGCAGTCTGACTCTCTGAAATCTTGGGCTATGTGGTGTGCCTCCTCTTTAGTCTGCACAATATAACATGAGGCCGTCCTTTGTGATGGCAGAAAAATGCACCAGGGTTAAGCAGTGGGTCACAATGATGTTTTAAAAAAATGGCAAGAAAGCCCAAAAATCAGAAGTGGAAACTAAAAGGATATGATCTGAAACAGGAAAGCAACGCTAAATAAAAAAAAAGTCCCACTGTTGGATCATTTATTTGATCTGGGACATGGCTTAGGTCATGCCTGCATTGTTTATCTGTCTAGTGCAGAAAGTATGCCGGAGTGTGTTCTTTACACAGTCAGACTAGATGCAGCATCACATCTTTTTTATTTAGTATAGGATTTGTGACGTACGCAGATCTTGACACAATTCCATATACCGATCCAATAGGAATGTACCATGGCACTAAATGGGAAGGGCCAAGCTAAGGATAAAAACTAATGTCTCAGAGGATTCAAGGCCCATGGACGTAATTTTTTTTTGGGGGGAGGGGGGGGGGGGGGACAAGTCCCCCCCCACTTTTTCCAAAGTCAAGTTTTGACCCCTGCACTTTTTACCATCCAAAAACAATATTACGCTATATTAAATCGACACTGGTTGAGCTCTAGGACCAAGCGGAAAACAACCGTTTGTGTTGAAGCCTGTTTCCTATTAGAGCATACTGTAAAGATACCCCCCCCCCCTGTGTCCCCCCCCCCCCCCCCCCCACTTCTAAAGTGAAAATTACGTCCATGTCAAGGCCTTTTTGACTGATGACCAAGAGAGGAGCTTTCAGGGGTCACACTATTTGTATCCTGCTGCCTGCCGAGGGTTACCGGTCTTCCTCCACTGGAGGTAAAGAACCAGGAAAGTAAGGTCTGCTAGCTGAAGAGGATCTAGACATGAAAAGACCTTTCTACTGACTTAAACAGTAACACAACAAAAATGAAGACGGGCAAAATGATTTAAGGAAATTAGCAAGAGTAAAATAATGATAATCATGGGCTACTCTAAAACACTCAGAATTTCACACATGCAACAAGGAATGTGATTCTAAATGAGGCCTGAAATAATTCAACAAGTAGAAAAACAAAAGAGGTCTAATGGGACACAAAATGACCAAGACGAACATGAAGTGAGTCATAACTACCAAAAATACACACGACACAACAGCGAAGACACAAAACATCTGCAAAAAGAGCCAAAACACTCCCCAAATCCTTCGATACTACACCTTAGACACTTTGACTTGTCTGCAAAGTTCTTCATCAAGTTCAATTAGTTTCAAGGGGAAAGTTTCCAGAGAATCAAACAGCAGAATTTTGTTTCCATCTAAGTTATGAATTCAAACATTTATTTCTGTGCACTTACAAAAAAAGTCTCATTCTGCTCTTAACAATTGACAATTTTGACATCCTTAAAATATTTTTACACCACATGCCCTATAGGATGAAGGTGAGCTTTGATGTTTCTCCCAGAGTGTTAAACCCTCTTGATTTTCTCCACTCCGAGATCTCAGGTGGTTTATTTTTGGACTCTTGGGGTCCAAACTAGGTTTTACTTCCAGTTTAGGCCTTTTTGTACACGTGTTTCTGATTAGGCCTATAAAAAACAAAAAGAAAACATAAAATGAGCCTCATTCACACACTTGTTCTCACCAATCTGATCCGATCCTTTTCACATTACAGAGAGAACACTTCGTCCTGGACGGTCTTATCAGAGAAACAAGTTTATGACTGTCTGACATAAAATTCAAAGGCAAAGCGGTATAAACTAAATCATAGGTCCAAAAAGCAAATCTCTACCATGCATGTGAGTTGTGTTTATGTGCATAAAATAAAATCACACACTAAGAACGAGGTGTACCCTTTGAAAAAGGCTGTGTTTTATTGAAATACAGCAGACATCAACATGTTGTTTTGCTGACCTGGGCGACAGAAACTGAGCTCCAACACTTTTCAAACAAATACTCATGGCTATTTTTAGGATTATTCTTTTCATAAATACACATTCAACCCCAAAAAGGTTAACTTCACCTCCTTTTGGGTCAGACACCGATTAACCAAAGTGTTGGGAATTAAAAAAATAAAATAAAACAAGCTGGTGCTCCACATTGATTTGGGTTTTCAGTGCAAAAATGCTGGTAGTGTATGTAAAGTTCAACGTTTCACACACCTTGCACAAGAGAATCCAAAATTGTGTTCAGCTCGTTTTCTGCGCCCAGGGTTGTTTGTTTGATAGTAGCAGTAGTAGAAGAAGCAGAACGTTTGTTATGAAGCAGGGCTGGCCTCAACTCCCCGTTAAATAACATTTAAAGCACCTGGTTCCCTCCAAAGCAAATCCAAAGTCAGGCTCAAAAATATAAATATCGAGTTGGATGTGATCTTTGCCTCGACTGCCTGGAGGGAAGATCCTGTTTCACAATCTTTAAAATTCCTTATGATTTCTCACAGTAAATAACAACATTACTTTTTGGGGGCCTCACGATTGTACGGACAAAGGAGATAAACGTCCAAATTTCGAATACGAAAATATTTTAGTGCAACCTTTGATTGTCTCAATCGATTATGAACGCACCTTAAAATTAACTATGTTTGAAAACCTAAAATGGGATAAATTAGGCAAATAATTTGCTTAGGTAAAAAAAAAAATTGTGCACAATGTGTTGCATCTTTGGCACAAATGGCCTTCTGTAGTTAAAGCTGGGCGCCAGTCCAGGAAATTATGCACACAAAGAGAGCTTTTAAGCTGAACAAAACTGTGTTTTTCTATAAACAGTTCAGTTGCCTGATTGGTAATAAATATAAAGAACAAGACGAGCTGTTCTGTGATTAGGTCTGGTGAAATCCCCCGATTTCAGGGGACAAAAAAGGCAGAACAAACCAGGTGTTTTATCTGAACAAACCAGTGGTTTGTTCAAAAATTCTTCAACTGATTTAGAAAAAAAAATCTTTAACTATTTGGCTGTTTACACGCAAACATATTTGCATAAAAGCTTTTTACGGAAGCCAGGTGCAAACGAAGAAAACGTTTTCCGAGGGGATTTTTATTTTATTTTAAATAAAATACAGCAAGGACTCGCGCAAATACATCATATTTTACCGAAATACAAATAAGTTAAGGGCTCTTCTCATGGTTTTAACTAGCGTCATGGCCGCCCTTTCAAAACCAGTTGGCACATTTTATAAAAGCCTAAAGAGGCCAAATTTGACTCATAATTGTTTGAAAATTACACTTTTTGTGGTGGAGCGTTAATCCAACCTGATGAATTAAAGATTATTTAAAAGTAAACATTTGCTTAGCTAGTTTAGTGTTCAAAAAACAGTTCTCACTAATTAGGTAAAATAACAACTTTCACCACCTGAATACTGATAGACCCTAGAAGAATTAAACTTTACTTCTTTTATTAGTTGCATTGGGACTTTTTTCCACTTTGTGCTCGATTCTTTAGTCGTTTCCACATTCAGATACTACACCCACAATATTTCTCCTGAAAGCAAATACATTCAATCATTCATCAGAAAAATATGCAATTAAAACTATGCGCTTGCAAAAATAAAACTCTCTTGGATAGCTTTCTAAGGCGGTGCATCAGCTAAGAGGCTCCTTCTGCAGCGCTGCTGGGTTTCGGCACTAAAAACAAACAAACCGTGCAGCAGCTCAGCGGAAGAACGACTCCGACGATGCTGAAGTTTTACAAAAACTACAAAGACTTTAAGCAATAAAAAAAAGCACTTTTATCAACTCAAACCAGCAGTCAGAACTTTGCATGAAAGCTCCGGACTTCAGCAGAGTGAACGCCCGTTGGACGGAGTTAAAAACCGGCAACCCACCCCACCCCTCCCTTTTGTTCTATTGAGGCCAGCCCTGGTTTGCATTTGTAAATACAGTATTTCAGATATATGTAGTCTTTTCATCTTAAAATCTGACCAGAACACTACAGCGGCAGAAGCAATACATAAAGAAGCTCATATTTTTGACTTTACTATTATGCTCTCTCGTCGGAATGGAACTAGTTTCAACTACGCCTACCGAGCCAACATGTAGTTATGCATCGAATAAAAGTCTATTTATTCATTTATTTTTTTAAATTTATGACAGATGCGTGTGATTGTGTGCAGGATGACAAAAACAAACAAAAAATTGACCCAAAAAATCAACAAAGGAGGAAACATCAAGAGAAGAACATGTCAAAGCGTTAACGACAAAACGGACGAAGTTTGATTCAGGCAGCGTGATTCTGGATTGTGAGATTTTGCTGTAGAGTTTGAGGTGTGCATGATCGTTACCATTAAACCTTTCTGCGTTTGCCACCATTTTTAGATGTGTTACTGCTTTTTCACATGATTGTTGTTTGTTCAGGTTTAAACAAAAAAATAATCCACGACAGTCACTTGGTCATACAAGCAAGTTCGTTGGAACAAAATGTGCAGATTGGCTTTAAGTTTTTTTTTCTTCCTTTTGTTCTTCAAAAAGGGTTCCAGACAGAGTGGCTACAATAATAATAAGAATATTAATAATAATTATTATAATAAAGCACTTGACTTCACTTCAGCACAGTTAAAAAAAAGAGAAAAAAAAGGTTCAAAAGGTGCTTTTTTGTTTTTTAAAATCTGATTTGATTTGAAGCGAAGTCCCCCCTCCTTCCCTCTCTCTTTCTCTTTTTCTTCCTCCCTCCTCCTCCTCCCTCCCCTTCTCTCAGCAGGGAAGTGGCAGGCGGAAGTCCAGTGTCGGTCAGACGAAGAAGTGACTGAAGTATTGCCAACTGGTCTGTCTGTCTTTTTTTCGTTTTCTTTTCTGTTTCTGTAGTGGTTCCACTCTGGTTCAGCACAAAAAGAGGAGGAAGGGTGATGGGGAAACAATTCACACATGCGTACCACTTCTGGCACCATGTTTGTTTTGAAAGTCTATCAAAAACAAGAGAAAATAAAAATAAAAGAGCCAAGAGGAAATGAAAAAAGGGGTTTAAAACAATTGAAAAAAAAAGAGGGTTCTGGGGGGACGAATTGCTCCCATTTTACAAAATGTAACAAAATTTTTTTCGCAAATTTTACAAATCTATCAGTACAAGAAAAACAAACAAACATATATTCTATTTACAAGAAGAAGAGGAACCCTTTTTTTAAAAGTGTAGTGAGAATGCAGCAGATCCCAGCTTTGGCACGCGGCGTTTTTGTTTGTTGTTTTTTTAATTATTATTATTTTTCTTGTCCTCATTTTGTTTTTTAAATCCCACACTGTCTGTCGATTGGTCGGTCGGTGTGTACAGTCAGACTGCCGCTGTTGCTGCAGGCACACATTCAGTTCTCCAGTTCACCTTCCTCCTCATCTCCATAGCAACACAGGTCACGCACAACATCGCCTCGGCCGCGTCCGGAAGTCCATCCATCCGTCAAGTTCACGACCTGCTAATCCCCTCCACTCACTGCCTCCTGCACTCACTTCAAGGAAAGACTGAGGAATTTAAGAAGCTTTTAAGGGGCTTACAGAAAAGAACAAATCACGTTTAGAGCTTATTTATACCTGTAATGTTCAGAATATAAACATGAAAAATGCACGGCATGTTAATGGAATTCAGTCAGGACCCTTTGGCGGAGTTTACAAGTAATCCAGCAGAAAAATTTTTTTAAACCAAGAAACAGAAATTAATTTTTTATTGATTTTCATCTTTAATGTTCGTATTTACTCATAGAATGAGCCAGATTTAGTGACTAACCTTGTTTCCCATGAGCAACTTTCAACAGTAAATGTCCTAACTGTTAATAAAATCGGCTTTATTTACTAAAATATTCCATTAATTGATGATATAGAGGTTTCTGAACATCAGGCTGATTGTAATAATGATGAAATGAAAGATTATTGTTTCAGAAAAAAGTTAATTATGACCAATTTTTTTCTCTTATTTTACTGTTAATTTTAAACTTTTAATAACCTCTGCAGTTTTTTCTTTTTTACTTGCCGCTATTTTACTTTTATACTATACTTTTTGTATTTATGACGTATTTCCGTCACCAGATTTACTGTGTTTATATTTTTATTCTAATTTACAATAAAAAATAAAATTTCAGCGTTGACTTTTATGAACAGTTATTTTTAAAAGCTATCCTTTTATTTTAAAGGCTAAATTCAGAAATTTGTATAAATTTCCATAAATGTAACTTTTTTGTTTAAAATCGCAAATCTATAAAGTGAAAACAAATGCAGGTAAGTAAAATAAATATCAGTAATTAAATTATTAAATAACAACTTTTAAGACACTTTATAAGATAATTTGTTGATTTAAAAAAAATCCACTAATTAGCCGTGACTTGAGCAGAAAAAATGAGGGGATATTTATTTTACGATTTTAATTTTCTAAGAAAATCAGAAAGTATTCATAACCAGGTTTGATTTTTACCAGTTTTTAATTGTTGCTTCACTTTAATTGATTTCAGGGTGTGTCTGGGAATATCGAGGCCTGTTAGAAAATGGCAGAACTCAACTAAATTTATTTTTAAAAACATAAAATATCAAGAAAAAAAGCTACCTTCAGCTATTTATTAATATTTATCCAACACCACTTGATATTGTACGGAATACTCTAAATAATCCTCTCTGTTCTTGTGCCGCTGAAGCTTTGGTTTTGATTTATAATACTTTTATAATTCTTTTATAACTGCAAGAACTGAAATTATAAACATGAACTCCATTGTGAGGGAGGGTAATTTCAATTATCCTTTCAGATTGCGACCCTGACATTCTTTTTTTGCACTCCTTAGATTTTAAAACTCCTGTCCCCAAATAAAAACCCGCGCCTACAAAGCTCCGTCTCATTTAAACTCATCTGTTTGTAGCGAGCGCCGCGCCCATGCGGGGGTCACTCCAGGTTGGGAACGCTGACAAGATTACCTCGCAAAAGGACAAAGAAGGAGGTTGTGCGTGACCTCGGATGCGACAATCGAGAGATAAAAATCAGTTCTGGAAAAAAAATACAGCTCGATATCTGTTAATTAAAAAATTTGTTTTGTTGCTCCGTTCTTCAGATTCTTTCCTCTTTTATGTTTCCAGCAGCAATGTGGCGGCGACGGCAGCAAATCCTATTCGCACCTGAAATGAACAGAGGGAGGAAACGAGGGGGGGGGGGGGGGGGGGGTGTTAAAAACTGGCAAAATCTTTCACAATGCTAAATAAATGTCAGTTTGACACGAAGTCAGATCCTTCCTGTTAAAACAAAGAATAATTAAAGGAATACTTTGCAACTTTTTCATATTTTAAAATCATTTTCTTGAACCAGCATGTTGTAAAATGACCCTTTACAGGTTTAGTGAAAGGCCACCCAGCCCCTACCGCCCCCCGTGGCCAGAATTTCGCACTTGCAACTTCAGAGTTGCCGGTCTGGTCTGCTTGGACTGGCACTTCTGCCTGGCATCAGCACGTTTCCTGCATGTTTTAGATCATGAGCTCAGCTGATTTGTTTAAATAAGTGATAAATCACTCTTACAGACACTTAGGGGAGCTGGGAGACGTTTCAGCGGATAGATTAAGGTGTTAAAAAAGACGAACGCGCAGCAAGATGGGCTTTGGTTTCGCTTCTACAAACGGACACTAGGGGGTGCTAAAGGAGAGCTAAACTGCCTAGTATCCAAAACCAGACAAAAAAATCAGAATGGAGAGATCATAAAATCTGTGTTGGGCCTAGAGATTGTGAAGACACATTATTGTGAAATAACAGTTTCCTAGCGGACGGCAGGCCAGACCAGACCAGACCAGGCCAGGCCAGGCCAGACCAGACCAGACCAGGCCAGGCCAGACCAGGCCAGAACTCTCACTCCTAACTCAAGAAAAGAGCAAATAGGGAGTTTGGTTGGTTTAAAGTAACACTTAACATTTTCCAGCTTCTCCATCCTGCTGGTTGAAAGTGAACTTGCAAGTGTCCTAAATAACCCTGCAGCAGCCTGCGCTAACAACGAGCTAACACTAACATGGATTGACGTGAATACGTAGACGCTCAATTGGGCGCTGGAGAGCGTAACACAATGTGCCAATCAAGCCAATCCTGCTGAGAGCGTACTAAGAAACGGCTCTACGTGCATTCGTACTGTCTTGCCTTGACGATCGCAATGCTGTGTATGCTGGTGTGAGTTCAGGTGCACGGTTCCTCACTGGTTCTAGAAAGAGGGACCACATCACTCTGGTGTTAGCTCAACTTCGTCCTTCGAGTCTCGCTCAAAAACACACTTTTATCTGGTTTTATTGGGTTTCTTGGTCTGATATTGGTCATGAGTTTCCTTGAGTTTTCACAGTCAAACTTGGTTTAATTTAATATTATTAGTTATTTTTTAGTTTGATTGTTTTTAGTCAAGGGTATCTCTTCTTCCTTTTAGCCGTTTTAATCATTTTTATCTTTTTTTTTAATCTTGTTCCTGTTTTATTGTTCCATCAGTCGATTGGGACAGTGATTGTTCTATTGTTGTACTGTTGTGTACAGCGCCTTGGGTCTCTGCAAGACTGATGGAAGGTGCTTTATAAACAAACACACCTATCACAACTAATAGATGCGAAATAAATACAAATGACAATCAGCTAAGCAGTACACAGACATGTGAAAAAGCCCAAAGTGATGCAAAATGACAAAGGAAAGCAAAAGTGAAAGAAGAAAAAGGTTCATGACTAGAAAACCTGGACTTGAGCCCACACAAAGACGTGAAATTGTTACATTGGAGCTAAAAAAATGCTAAGCGGAGCAGTTATGTCATCCTGCTCCTGCTACAGGGACCTTTTACATTCTTTTTAATGAATTCATCCCATCATATTTGTCCAGATGCCAGATCTTTTTAAGAAACTCATGAAAACTTCAAAAGAAATTTTCCCCCAGCAGACTAAAAAAAAAAAAAAACACAAAGAACGAGCGCTTTGACCCTCCTGTATTTTATTTAGTCATGTTTCAAGCTGAAGATGTCAAGTTTCAATAAAATTTAGACGAAGATTTGTCCGAGTGTTCTCGTTGCTCATCCCGTCCTGCTGCAGCGCTGAGATTGTCTAATGAAAACGGCGCTGATTTGAATGAAATACAAGAGACACCACGATCATTGTGCTTTATGATTGAGAACGCCAAGAAAGAATAAACTTTTTTAACACCCTCTTTTATTAAAACGCATCAGATTCCAATTTTGAAAACTTGGATCCTTTGAAAAGGCTTTTTCTAGGCACTTTCCAGTTTTAAGCACTGATTACTTTTCCTTCTTTGAATGCACAACTCTGACATTACAGTTCACAGCTCAGTAGGAAAATAACAGATTTGATTAAGATCAAAGGAGTTGTTAGCTTTAGGGTTTTACAACTTAAAAGCTCTTTAAATATTAAAATCACTAGAATGATTGCAAAAAAACTCCTTTTTTATTGGAAATATGATAAAAAAAACAGGATTTAAAACTAAAAGCGAGATTACACTGAAATAGGTGATTTTACTGAGCTGTGTGTTTTATAAAATAATGGCATTCAGAGAAACGCTGCAACATTTGAGCTATTTACCCTTCACCTATAAGCTGCAGCCATTGTTAAGCTATTATGGGATGCTGGAGTGCTCACTGCTGATTAAATGAAGCTTCGAGCTGCTGTGATTGGTAAGACGGGACAATGGATGGTACACACACACACACACACACACACACACACACACACACACACACACACACACACACACACAGACACACACACACACACAGAGAGAGAGAGAGAGAGAGAGAGAGATAAACCAGGAAGTATGCATCACATTCATTTTCTCTGGAAATTTGCTTCACGAATTGTTACAACTCACTATAAGAATTATTCGTCACTTTTTGACATCGACTTGCTGCTTGGAACCACACACCTGTTTCAGGTGACTAAATCACAAATAAAAAAAGACAAAAAAATAAATAAATAAAAAGAAATTTTACTGAAAATACATGTTTATAATAATATTTTATGTTTTAAATTGTACAAATCTGATGTGTTTGGGTTATCATTAAAGGGACAATGTGTAGCTTTTATCATTAATCTCTGGAAACATCAATCCAAATGTTGAAAATGAATGAAATGATGCCCAGTTGTAGAAAAATATTGGCAGCTTCTTAACATGCAACCATAAAAATCTGGTCTATAATACATGGGAGCGGGTCTAAGTCTCTGGGCGACACCATATTAGATGCTGTGTTTCCTTCTACGGGAGCCCTTGAGGACAAAATGCATTTACTGATTTGTAACAAATGGTTACAAAACTTTCACCATTCATGAACGTTGTTTTACACATTTACCTCTTCACTTGTTGCCACTGATGAAAGGGAGCCTATTGTGCTGGTTATTTAGCTGAAGTTTGCACTCCTCAGGGCTTTTTGACCCTTATAGGCATCCGCTGGTAAGCTCTTACTCCAACACAAAAATACAGCTTGCTTGCAACAATTTAGGTATCTACTGCCCCCTATTGCCAGGAAAAATACACACAGTCACTTAAAAATTGTTATTTTTAATAAACGAAGGAATAAGTTTTTGATTTTAAAATTTTGCTAAAAGTCTAAATAACTTCTAATGATAAACATATTTTATTGATATTAATGAGTTTTCAATATTTGACTGAATAAATTCCAAATAAAGCATGAATATAATTTTCTTTAAATTTAAATAACACGAATAGTAATTTAAGTGTTTTGTTTTTCTGATGTAAATTTGATTTAAAAATGTTTATAACAAATTCTTAATGTATTGATGATAAAAATAAAATAAATCTGAAAAAAGGGCCCACATAAACGAATAAAAAAACATTATTAAAAACTGAAAATCCTGTTGAATGATCTTTGCATCTATTTATATAAAATAATTTGAAAAAGTTTGTGATTTCATAGATAAAATAAGGGAAGTGTGAAAAAGTTCAGTTTGTGACTAAAATTATAACATTTAAGGCAGTTCATAAAAAAAAAACAAGTTTGTACATATTTAGTTCTGCAAGTAAATCCAAAGAGAAATAGTATTTGTATTTTTCTGCATGTGGCGTTCACCTGCTCCCATCGTATCCAGTCAAACTCCTTTAGAGCCGACTCCAATAATAACTGGCACCTGAACTGAGCGGCTGCCGTCACAAACTGTTGTGTGTCGTGTTAATTCATCATCCCGCTCACAAACTAAATCACAACCACTACAACACCTCCCCCGGCTCTTCTGATAAATCCACTGCAACACAACTTTTCTTGTACTTTTTGCACGCTTCTATTGAAATGAACTGGAAACATGACAGTTTGATTGAGGCTTAAGCACGTTGGACAATAAAGGTTGAGTCTCGTAAATCTCTCTGAAAGGAAAACATAAATCCTCTGAGCAAATATCCAACGCTGGCGCTGTGTTTGTTGGTGTTGCGTCTGATGTGTGGGTTGGAGCAGAGAGGTGGAGAGTGGAGGAGTTTAGGAGAGCGACTGTGGCAGACTCAGGAACACAAGTAAATAAATCTGTGCTGTTGTTTTGTAGAAAGTAATGAGCAAGCACAGCAACAAATACAAACACCTTCTGTAGCTCTGGGGGCGTTCTGTCAGGAGGGTCACCCCGATGACGTCAAAGTCGTATCTGGGTCGGGGCGCGTGACGAGTTTGACAGAAATCTCCAACTGCATGAGAAATCTTGAGTTTATATTTTAAGTCCCTAGTTTTTGCTAAATTGTGGAGATAATTTAGCTGTTGATTGGTGTTTATGCTTAGTGGCACACTCAACGCCGGTCAATTAAAAATTTAGCCGAATCACATCCTCCATTTGTACCAGGATTAAACTGATTTGTATTTTATTATTGGGCTCCAAATGATCCCCAGACAACATAATGGGTAAAAAGTGAAAAAAATTTGTTACATACTTATTTATTAGTCCTTGGTTTAAATGAAGTGTTGTTTTAAAACACCAGAACAAGTAAATATGGCAGAATGATGACAAAACACAATGGCTGTGGTTGGAGGGACTGGTGGCGCCAGTGTCTCACCTCAATCAGTGCGCCCCAGGGAAGCTGTGGCTAGCTCATCACCACCAGAGTGTGAATGGGTGTGAATGGGTGGATGACTGATTGCGTTGTGAAGCGCCTTGGGGGGTTGTAGAACCCTAAGAAAGCGCTATACAAATATGTTTAAGATGCTTGTAAAAAAAAAACCTTTTCCATGACCTCAAACACACTTTGTGGTTCAGTGTCAATGATATGTTTCTACTTTCATTATCTTAACTGCTTATTTTTCAGAAGGGTGTAGGTGAGTTGATGTTACACTCCAGCAGACATCAGGTGAGAGGAGGGGGACATCCAGGACAGGTTTCCACTCCATCACAGGGACATGTTACTGGAACTCTAGGGTAATTCCTGGGATGGGGAAATTGACCCGGAGGTAGGATGTCTCAGTCCTCTAAGCTGTTGTGTCTCCATTCAGATTCAGCCCTTTCTGAATTTAGCATAGATGTCAGCATATCATGACTGCATTGGCAGTGAGTGATGTCACGGATCAACGTCAAAAAGCGTCTACAGTAACATCAATAACATTAAAAGCATTTATCCTGTCGAAGTATATAATAAATTAATCCTTTCAAATTAGATCAGCTGCGTGATGTAATATGTGGTGTTCAATGACCTGATAAACTGCAGTTTTTTACGGTGCTCTGTGAAATAACAAGCCCCGTTAATTGTCTGTGGGGGAACTCCGCCGCGTTTTCCGGCATCAGGAGTTAGATTTTAAATGCAATCTGTGATTATTTTCCTTTGCTTCCGTTCTGCTTCACCAGCAACTCCTCTAATTTTACCAGTCACGGTTGTTTTGTACGTCTGCTGATGTAATTTCCTACTGAGGCACAACCAATCAGCGAGAGGTCATTTTAATTTGTAAAGCACTTTGAGTTGCATTTATTGTATGAATTGTGCTATATAAACAATGTTTGATTTGATTTGATTTGACAAATCCCCCCAAAACTTTGCTGACATGTACTTCCTGTGTGGACATCTGGGTTCCCGTAGCAGCTCTTCTCTGCTTTTATGGCAGCTATGTCTCTCCATGTTGCCTTCATGTGATTTATCCACCAAATAGAAAACTAGTGTCTAAATTTGTTCTGGATTAATGTCTGAATGTTACAAAATCTTTTAATGGTATAAATAATGTCCTAAATCATTTTTATGCTAGCTTAGGTTGATTCTACTCTCCTGTACCAACTCGACACCTGCTGACAAATCTGCGTTTTCCGTATTAAGACCTGAACTCTGGATGGTGTTTCCAAAATAAAGGGGCATGTTGTTTACTGTGACTTTATTAAAGACCAAAATAAATTTTCTCTCCATAATCGAACATCCCTAGCAGGAGCATGCTGTTTATTACACAGTCACCATTTTTGCACCTTCTGGTGATTTTAATTTGCATTTTGGACGGATGATGCTGACACAATGGGCAACAATTACCCGCCTAGTGTGTGTTTGTCATCGCTCATTGTGCATTAAATACTCATGCCAGACTCGATAGTTTGTTTATTAGTCTGACAGCTGAATAAACATCCTTACCAACCCAGTATTGTCCATTGAACAACTATTCTCAGCTGCAGCAGCAAAAGGAGATACTCCTGCAGCCTCGATCAATGACAGGGATAAGAGCAATATTTTAAAATTGAGTGGCTGCCAAGGGGAAGGGGGGTGAAGGTGAGTACAAAAAAATTACCTGTGGTAGACATCTTAATTTCTAAACTATAAAAGTAAGGGTACGAAGTGACCAGAGCTGCAGAAGTACAATCTGGAGGAAGTGGGAATTGACCAGACACCACGGGGGGCATTTTGTCAGCTAAAATGTTTTCTATGAACGTCCAGTTCCAAAAATCGGGTTCACAAGACACTAAGCTAGGGAGGAGCTGCCATCCAGAAAGTACAGAAACACAGGGAACTAAATAATTTATGTAGTTTAGCTTTCAGACTATTTTATTAAATTAAAATAAATTAATTAATTTTTTGTTGTGACAGACTGATGTGAGAAAACCTCCAATGTACCAAAATCTCCCCCACTGGCATCTTAATTCCCATCCACTAAAGTTCTAGATCCATCCTCCTGTACTTCTCTCACATGCTCATGAATAGGATTTGTTACATAAATCTGGATTTCTCATCAAAATCTGTTTATTTTTGTGAAGAAAATATCATCTAATATCCTTCTTGTTTTGGCAAACCTAATAAAGTCATTAAAAAAGCACCTGAATGCATTTTTCTGTTGCAGAACTGACTGTTGCCACTAATTTTTGTTTTCAGACGAACAGGGTTAAATAATTCACAAAAGACGTTCCCCAACGCAACATACGGATGAATACAGAAATATGTTTCACCACCCAACACCAAATCACGGGGAAGGCCACTATTAATGAGGGTATTAACAGATCTGCAAACTTCTTTATTTGCTTGCTGTAAATAAAAGCTGTGATTACCAACGGCGTTCAGCATTTTTGACACTATTGAGTTTTTAATTTTGTGTTTATCCAGGAGCACGCCGCATTTACATGTATTTTGACAGTGTGAATGATCTTTTTTGTCTTTGTGTGAGTTTATACTTTTTTACCAACAAGCCAGCTCATGTGAATTGTCCCCTGTGGCACAAATAAAGTATTTTTGAACTGAAAAGTGAAAGGAAGAAACACACACACACACACACACAATCCTTTTCAAACACCTCTGACAGCAAACGTGTCATCTGCAAAATACTCAAGTGATGGTTAGTCAAAAATGCTGCATATTGATTATTGATTTGAGCTGTCGTGCTGATTCTGAAGCTGTCCTAAAGTAAAGAGAAGCTTTCAAAAGTGACGGTGTAAGAAGCTGGGTCTAAATGATTTTTTTAAACAGATGTTTGTCTCGAAGAGAGCATCTGAACAGAGTCTATTTTGATAAGTTAAAGCCATGTAGACACATTAAGACATTCAATCTTCTGTCAGAACAGACAGTGGAGGGAACAAGCGACAGACTCTGTCATCACTCTTTGCCCTAGGCGGAGCTTTTATCTATCCAACTTTGCCACAACGGGGGGTCTGCTGCTATTTTAGGCCTCCGAGTATCTTCCCCCCCCCATCCCCCCTCCCGCTGTAAGTGTTTAGCCAAAACTCGTACAGCTACACAAACAAAGACTGGCTGGGGTACATTTGTTTGTTTCCAGGGATCGAGGTGTTGGCTTCAACGTGACCGGATAAGGGAGCGGGGACCAATAAAGGCCACACTGAGCTAAATCAGATCCATGTGGAAAAACTCTTAATTTTATTTATAACTGTACATCAAAAGACAATTAACTCATGAAAAGTCTTGGGCGAGTGTACAAACTGCAAATGTTGAAGTCTGGGTAACGGTGGCCGAGGAGGTAAATGCCCGCCATGGAATCGGAAGGTTGCCGGTCAGAGCCTCACTTAACCGGTCGTAGTCGTGTCTTTGGGTGCGACACTTCACCCAACTTGCCTGCTGGTGGCACCTGCGCTCAGCAGCCTCGCCTCTGTCAGCGTGCTCCAGGCAGCTGTGGCTATAACGTAGCTCATCATGATAAATGACCCGCACTTATATGGCGCCTTTCAGAGTCGGGAGGACTCCAAAGCGCATTACACTGCAGTGTATCATTCATCCATTCACACACATTTTCACACACTGGTGATGATGAGCTACAGTGAAGCCACAGCTGCCCTGGGGTGCACCGACAGAGGCGAGGCTGCTGAGCACAGGCACCAGCGGTCCCTGCAACCACCACCAACCCAAAACTCCCGGAAAGGAGGGTTAAGTTCTCATCAAACCCCACAAAACAATCAAACATCAAAAACTAAATAGAAATGTTAAAAATGTCAGAAAATGTATTTTATGTTTTTTTGTGGAAATTTGTTTTTTCATTAAGGGAAAAATTCCGAAGCTTTCTAAGTTGCTAATTTGTGCTCCTCTTATTGTAAAATGAATGATTAAAATCAGAGATGCTCATAAAAAAGCTAATTCAAACTTAGCTGCATTAGCAGAGGTCATTAATCATCAATAACAATAAAACCGTTGGAGTGGGGGGTTATCTACCATGGGAAACCTTTTTTCCTGCTTAGTGACATCTGTGCCACCACAGTTTCCTGAATTTCTCCAAAGACTTCATAATTTTCCTGATCAGCACAAGAAACACAAAACAATCAGCGTTGGACCTCAGAGATAAACAAACACACCTGGGGGACATTTGAGTACATCCTCCAAACTCTCAACGTTTATCCTGTAAGCCGTCCAGATGGGTCCTCCGCCAATTTTCTCTCTCTGTCCAGGAGCAGATCCCGTCCTCTCCTCAAAGGTCCCTCCTCCAGCCAGCTCCCGAACACCTCCCGTGCTCCTCCCATGACTCCTCCATTCTGTGTCCCGTTCTTCATCTCCGCCACACTCTGCTGCCTCAGTCTGTCAATGCAGTTTTACCACCATCGTTACAACAACCGTAGACGTGAAACACGCAGAGCAGTGGGATCATTAAGGCCACTTACTGACCTAAATACAGACACTTAAACGCTGCTGGACCTCACTGATGAGTCTAATATGAACGTTAATGGGTTTTTAAAGTGGTTCCCTGCTTCGTTTGCATCTTCTCTTCTCCTTGGACGAAGATGAAAACATACTAAAAAGTTGCCCAACATGCGTAAAAAACACAAACAAGACTTTTACTCAACAAGCCACCATAACTGGGGAAATCTAATGTAGAAAATGAATCCACTAGTAACCGTAACGGCCCCCTAGTGGCTGGTTGGTGTATACATCTTAAGCTCCGCCCACTACATCATATTTACATGACATGAAAATACATTTTACATCATTTTTAATATATGTCTTGGCTGTTGTTATGTTTCAGTCCTATCTTGGTGTAGCATAACAACTTATTAGTTAAGCTGTAATTTCTCATTGATGCTTTAAAAAAACGCGTAATTACGGAGTAGGACTTTCAGCGCCACCTCCTGGCTCCACAAATACAACACGGCGGTGCCTGTAAAAGAGACATTTTGGCTAGACTTTTAGAAAACAAAAGTACACGGAGTCTAGTTATAGTTATTTCTTGTCTAATTGTTATTTAAGTTGACCATACAAACGGGCCCTTAGAAAAACTCTATGTAAAGGATATAATTGGGAGCAAAAAGGGCTTTAATTAATCAGATTTTTCTTTGTTATTAAGTTTGGGAGTTGATTAAATGGTTCTATTTTGTGACGATAAATCATCTATTCATTATATGATAAGTGTTCAAATCACCAAGAAACAAGTTTTATCTCATTACACAAAGTTTATTTTAAAATCTTCCTTTTGTTAGAGAGTCTGTCTGGAGTCATGTGAAGTATAAATGCACAATATTTCCAATCGGTAACTGTTGATTGTGATATTTTCATTCTATATATATTGTACAGTGTTCAAAATGGCAGTAAATACCAACAATAGAGTACGCATAAGCACTGAGATTGTGCTACCTTCCATCACTGCACTTTACAGGGCTATTATTAGCTATATTTAAAATGTGCTTCTCTTTTTAAATGTATTTGCTACTAGATTTTTTATTATAAACTTGACATTTGATTTTTATTTTTTATTAAATAAAATATGCTGCAAGAATAATGTAATATTTTAAAAGAGACTGCCAGGTGTTCATAAAGGTTTTATTATTTTTTTTGTTAAATTTTATTGTGTGCTAAAAACGAGAAATGACAAAAAGTAAAGTGGCTGTGGAACACTACATTTCTGCAAAAAGGCTACTGGCATTATTATCTTGTCAGTCTATCCCAGTTTAGGATCTTTCATCCAGTCTGGTCTTGTCACACTCAAATTCTCAGCAAACACTAAAAATACAATGAAAAATAAGGTTTTTACATGTTAGTCTTTCAAAATAAAAGGGGAGTTGGTAATTCTTATTTTTAAACAGATTTAAGGCAATGAGGTGATTGCTCATAATTATACTTATTATGAGTGGGCCACAACTGGAACATTTTTAATTAATTAATTAATTAATTAATTAATTAATTAATTAAAAGAAATAAATTGTCCAACATCAAGCTAGTAAACTAATGGCTAAATCATGAGGAGATTACACATATTATTAAAAACAAAGCTGGAAACAACTTATTTTATATTTCCAAATACAATTATTGATCCTATAATAAAAATAAACCCTCTTGATGGTTTTCTTTATTTGCATTCTACGATTTTGTGCCCATCCAAGTGTGATTTGTTTCAGAGTTCGTAAAATCAGCAGCAGCAAGAAGGACTTCTTTGTGCTGTCAGCGCCGGTTCATGCCGCAGTGTTTTTTTTTTTTTTTTAGAGGCTGAGCCTGAATCCTGAGCTGACTCGCGGGACGAATAAAAACGCTTGCCAAATTATTGCGCAGATATTGGTTTCCAAACTAATAGCTGTTATCTGGCCAAACATGTCCCATGCTGCTTGATAAGAAGGAAGACTAAACAATGTCCCTGTGTGTTTGTAGGTTAATGCCTTGAAACAATGTTAGTGTGGCAACTCCAAAACAACAGCTCAAACCCATTGAAGAGGAGAGGGAGTAGAAATTCATTTTGGATGTGCAGGTCACCAGAAAAATTGCCAGCAGTTAGAAAATGTTGCTGAAACCAACATAGTTAACTGAAGGGCGCTTCCTATGCAACCAGGTGTGAGTGTAGTGATCACAACCCCACATATTAGTGGTTTTACATAGGGCTGCTCAATTAATCGAATTTTAATCACGATTACGATCTGAGTTTTGAACGATTATAAAAACAAAACAAGCCGATTATTTGCTCCTCCCACTTGCGCTGCCCTGAGTTGCAAATGAAGCGCTCCTCCACAGTGTTGCCAACTTAGCGACTTTGACGCTATTTCTAACAGCTTTTTAGACCCCCTTCTTGACTTTTTAAATCTTAAAAGTACCTAGCGAACACCTCAGAAACATCTCTGGTAACCCTTAGCTACTTTCTGGATAACTGTCGTCGACGTTTCCTGCAGGTTAGCTAAACACTCCGCCTGCGCTCCGGACCGTTCTTCAGGACATTAGGAAAGGGAATGATGCAGTGATGTGTCGGTCGCTAAAGAAACGGCTCTCAGAGCCGGCTCCCTGTTGGAGTAACCAGAGTGAGTGACACACACACCGCACCTGCGGGCTCCTGAGCAGCTAAAAACAGCTAAATGTGCGCGTGCGGCACGCTGAACACACGTGCAGCTTGCCCGATTGCTGTGAGACCGGATTAGGGGGTGGGGGGTGCAGCTGTGGTTGGGACAATTATTACATTAACTGATGGACGAAATAAATAGTTTATAAATAAGGTAGAAATAAGTTCCTCACGCTGATAAATAATAACTAATCTCTCTGAGGACACGGTGCTAGTGCACTCTCCTACAGCACCTTGACACGACTTCAATAAATGTTACGCAACATTTAGTGAACATCAATTTATTTGCGTTTATTTGTTATAAATGCCACTGTATAATTCTTGCTGTCAGTATTTGCAAGATATTGGTATTTGGGTCTGTACTGGTTAGACTTAAATGAGTTAAACCAAGGTCTATAGCCCTTGGGACATAGACTATGAGCTATAAGTATATTGGTCTTTCTATACTGGGAATCAGGAGTTTTAGTGATCATCTTGTTTCTTATTTATTTTTGTCCTGATTGCGCCCTGAGCAATTTTATGTCTGAATAAAAACAAATAAAATCAACATAAATTGAAAAATCGTCCTAAATAATCGAGATCTCAATTTCGGTCACAATAATCGTGATTATTGTTTTTGCCACAATCGAGCAGCCCTAGTTTTATGATTAAATTAGTTAATTTTTCAGCCAGCTGAATTAAATAATTTAAGACACATTAATACACCAAAGTAGTCTGGAGGATGAAAACTGGCAAGAAACACGATGCATAAAACTTGCAGGTGTCTATCCCTCTCTGCTGTGCTTCAGCCTCAGAGGCCATAAGTGAATAAAATGTATAACTACATTAACCTTATTAACATAATTTGTTTAAGTTTTCAGAGCTTGCTCAAAAATGAATTATCATAAAACTCACAAACGGTAACAACATATTTCATGAAAAGACATTAACTGGATTACCTGCCAGCAAACCGGTCTTGGAGCTCAGAGTGCTGTAGACTGTTGAAGCTGTTTGAATGCTGGTCCATCAGCCAGCCCAGCTCAAGCTCCAGCACCTTGCTGTTGTTGTTTGTTGCGGCTCCTTCTTGACAACGCTGGATGATGCTGGATGGAGAGTTTTCAGGGGAACACACAGGAAGCCCCTGCCCTCCATTCATTCCATTGCTGTGAAAAAGTTCCGTCAGTTCCATGCCGTAGTTCTGCCACCGAGTGTCTGTAAACCAACGAGCGAGTTCGGAACGAGCCAGTCCTGTCCGACCCTCCAGCTGGCTTTTCTCCTCAGGGGAAGGCCACCGCGTTTGAGCAAAATCATCCTTGAGGAGCGCCAGTGATCGGCTGTCAGGAGGCACTGAGAAGGAATTTGAGTGGGGGATAGAGGGTGCAATAGCGCTGGGAGAAGTAATGGAGAGGGCATGCGACTGTGGAGGAGGGCTTTTTAGATTACCCACATTTGTGCTTGCTTTGTGAATGCCGTTGAGCTGAGTTTGATGCTGCTGATGAGGCTTCTCAGTTAGGCCAGTGATACCACCTATCCCGATCTTTTTGGTTCCCATAGAGTTGAGAAGGGCTTGTTCCAGGTTGTCACGAAGTGCACGACGTTCCACAAACCAGCTGTCGATTTCATGATGAGACAAGCCAGTAGCGGCCGCCAGATTGTCCAAATCGCTTTGTGTGGGGAAGCTGTTCCGTAAGAAGTTCTCCTCTAAGACCTTGAGTTGTTTTGCCGTTTTTCCTTTCATCCTCTCAAGCAAAGGGAACTGAGTCAAGACCGGGGACTTCTGTTGAAAATCGTGTTTTCGAGCCACCGCGGTTTCTCCTCTGTCCAAATGCATAATCCCATTATTGTGAGCAGAGAAGTTCTGAGACCATTTACCATCCACACGAGTTGTTCCGTTGGCCTCTGCAAGAGGACTAGCAACCTTATCGCCCCTGGGATAACTGGTTTTCAGTTCCAAACCTTGGTGCTCATATTGTTTTTTGCCATCCAAAGGGAACCCCTGAATCTGCGAGGGGACTTTAGCTGGAGTGTGAAGAGACTGAATGATGGTTGGCCTCCTTATGTGAGAGTTAACGTGTGGAGGAGAGTTTGGCAGATTCAGATCAGGAGCAGGCAATGAGCGGGTAATGGTGTGCTTTTCTTTGGAACTGCGAGGGACAAGTAAAGCGTTTTTAAACGGAGGGGCATAAATAGGTGGAGGAGCTATCATAGGCCTTGTCAATGACTCTGGAAACACTATGGAGGGCATTGAGATCACTGGCTTTGATTTGGAGTTTCCCATTGCAGAAAGAAATTTCCCCTTGGATAATGAAGGTTGTGATGATGATGATGATGATGAAGGTGGCGGCATTAAAGGCACAGCAAGAGATGGCCTCTTTGCTTCTGCATTGACCATAGAAGCTGCTACAGGTCGCTTGATCTCCATGGGAGCGGGAGGTGGAGCCATTGGCATTCGGTCCTTCTGGGGAGGAGGTGGGGGAGGAGGTGCCATTAAGACCTTATCTTTAGGGTCACCAGAATGGGGAGCGACTGCCATGATTGGTCGCTTTGCTTCTGGGCCTAAAACTGATGCTGGAAGGGATCGTTTCAAGGTGTGGCTGGAAACAACTGGGACTACTGTATTAGAATTTGTGGTGGTGACGATACTTGAATCGTTGGTTGCAGCTGTTCGAATTTGACCTGGATGTTCAATTGTTGTGTGGACAAAGGGCTGCTTGGAGGCTTTGGGGGAGGACTGAGATACGAGGCTGGTGAATGTGTGATGAGCAGGGGGAATAGAACCATTGAACATTTTCTTCCTGGCTTCCTCTACCTCCTCAGGGGACCAGGTGATGCCTTGCTTCAGTCGCTGGGTGGTGAACCAAACTTTGATTTGTTCCTCTGGATGCCTGGAGGCAGCTGTCAGCCATGACAGCTCAGCATGTGTTGGGTAAGGGAACTTATTAAAGGAAGCAATCAATGTCAGGTTGTCATCTAGAGAGGGGTTGTATTTGGTAGTGTTCAAAGGAACGGCTATTTTTGGTACAGATTTAAAGTTGGGTGGGCGTTGTAGCATTGGGGTGACATGGGAAAGCCCTTGGACGATGGTAGGTTCAGGGATGATGACTGTTCCATTGATGTTCACTGCTGTGATTGGATCCTTCTGAATCAAACCATCCAGCTGGCTTTTAAGTTCTGTCCCTATGTAGAGTGGCTGTATATTACCTGGGGGTTTCACCGTGGTAGATATGCAAGATGGAAAAACGAGGCTGCTGTTGCCTTCACCTTGTTCATTTGTCATTTCGCACACAACTGAATTGTCTTTGCCTTCGATTGTCTGTTCCAAGATAGTTTGATTGTTCCTTTTTATCCTCTTGAACTTGAAGTTCGTCTCACCAGGGTGCTGACTTTCATTGTGTTCTGTGAGCGAGTCAAACTTCTTGGTGTTGAAGTTGCACACGGCACAGAGGTACAACGGGTTTAGAATGACATTAGGGTGACTGGAATCTACATGCTCCTTAAAGTCATTCAGATTTTGTGTCAAAAAGGGGCAGTATTTGCACTCGTAGCCTCTCGGCTGCTTTTTCTGCAACGAGTATTCAGATTCTGCTACTTCTTTATTTGTCAGTCCTCTTGTTTCTCCATTTTCACTAAAACGAAGTCCATTTTCTTTACCAGACTCTTTTTGTACTAATGGCTCAAGATTTTGTGTTTCCACATGCTTTAGAAATGTCTGTTGGTCTTTACCGTCCTGTTGTGTGTCTTTCATCTTAGTTCTTGATTCAGAGTGTTCTTTTTCAGTAAAGCCATTGTAGAACACTTTTTCTATGTCCATCACATTCACTGGATCATCTTGGTCATCAGGCAAGTCACTGATGACCCTGACCATGCAAGGAGTGGTGGACTTTCTACGACTGGACATGCTTACTGCTGCTGCTGTTGCTGGTGTTGATGGTGGTGCTGGTGCTGCTGATTGTGTTGAAGAGATTGTGATTTTTGGCTGATGTTGCTGGTGAGCGAGGATGTCAGTGTGTTGGTTTTTAAGCGAACCTTACTGGGGTGGACCGTAGCTGATGTTTGTGGATACTGATAGGCAGGTGGAAGAGTAGTCTCCAGCGTGCAAAAGGGAGGGCAAGAACCAGGCAACCATGCAGGTCCAGGATTGGTTGTTCAGTGGCGTCTCCCGCTCACCGGCAGTGTCAGCTCCTGGCCTGGGCGTCATGGGAGGGCATCGCACACAGCAGTGAGACTCAAGCTGCAAACAAACAAGGAGAGTAAAAGTGGCATGTTAGTATTGTTTTTGCTAAGAGTTAATCATCTCATGATGAGCTAAAACTGACTGAAAAACAATTGAGTCAATGATGTCTGCTTTCAAAATAAAAGCCCAGATTTCCCTGGTAGATTCATCTACTGTAGCAGAGGTAGCCCTTAAAAGGCTGTGAGGCTCCTGTCCACTACGGACACCAGGTTTGCCCCACAACATTTTGGTTAATCATTGTGTTATTGGTAGTTGGTTTGGTAGTTACAGGCTGTTCTGTATGTCGTTTGTCAGGTTTAGTTCTCAGTTTTCAGACATAAGGGACAGACAGAATCCAATGGTCAACTGAATGGGTGATGTGATGCTTTCGCCCTTCTTGATTGCTTTGGCCTGGGCTCCCAACTCCCTCTTTTGGTTCCTATTTAAATTGTTTATTTATTTTCTTTTGTTTGACCCATTTTAAGACCATTTTTGGTAAAAACTACTTTTCTAACCTGGCTCTCTGCTCTTGCCTATTTACACATATTTCATAAAACCATATGCAATTACACTGCAACCACCCATTTAAAGGGCAAAGCTTACGCATTGGGTCTAGAGTGGATCAAATGACACACAGTCAGTAATCAAGACTGAAGATAAGACAAAAGCTGCTTGATGACCTCTCAGATTTACAGGGCCTGGTGTTTTGCACTGACTTGAGTAAATGCAGCAAAGTTGGAAAAAAAAACAGACCCAAACAAACTGCGTAAGCAGTCTAGTGATTTTTAAAAATAATTAGAATTCTCTGGAGTGAGGGGTTTTACCTATGCCCAATCCTGGTCCTAGAGGGCCACTGAGTTGTTTACCTGCTTCAACATACCCGATTTTAATCAGCAGGTGATTAACAGACTTCTCCAAAGCTCAATGAGCAGGTGATTCAACTATTATTCCAGTGTTGGAGCAGGTACACAACTAAAACATGCTGGACAGGGTCTCTCCGGGACCAGAAATGGGCACCCCTGAACTAAAATTTTCTAAACACGTCTGAGCCAAGGCAAAAGTGCAATAATGCTATTTTTAAACAGCCAGCCAACTAAAATACCTCATGATTAATGCAACTACATATTTTGAAACTTCACCACCTTTTCATTATTTTTCATTACGCATATAAATAACAGTAACAATAACTGTAGCATTTTCAATGTATCCAGGGGCCGAGTGCAGCAGGAATAATGTAATATTGCTGCAAAAATGATAATTTAATGTTTGAAAAATAACATGTGAATAAACATTTTACCAGCCCTCAGATTACTTTAGATTAGGGGTGGGCAAATCCAGTCCTTGAGGGCCAGTATTCTGCATCTTTTTATAGTTGCCCTGTTCTAACACAGTTGATTCACCTGTTCAGCAGCTCATCAAGCTCTGTAGAAGCCACCCGGTTAATCACCAGGGGCCTCATTTATCAGGCTTGCTTACGCACAAAACGGGGTCGGAAAACTGCGTAAGCAACTTTCCACGCAAACTTTGGGATTTATGAAAGAAAACTTAGCGGAAAAATGTGCTCAACTTTAAGTTGACTAAGGACCTGGCTTACGCACACATTGGACAAGGAGAGCACCTGCAGTGCTGCTGCTGAGAAGGATAAAATTATGAAATCCTGCAACATTATCACTTGTACTGCTTCGTTTTCACACAGAACAAGACCCCCAGCACGCATGCGCACACACACACATGCGTGCACACTCACACACACATGCGCGCACACTCACATACACACACGCGCACGTGCACACACACACACACAGCCTGAAGCGCAGAATACGGAATGCAGAATATCAGCAGGGGGACAGATTGAGACAGAATGTCATGCATCTGTGACAGTGTGTGTCCTGTCACTGTGACCTGATTGATCATGCGCCCTGCCTACTTGTACAAGGAAGATCTCCGTGTGGCTGACTGGTTAGCACATGTGATTTTCACCCGGGAGTCAGGGGATTGAATCCTGATCTGGTCATTTTTTTATATCTGCCAAAGATCTCTCTGAAGAATTCAGCATTGACGGCTTCAGCAACGCTGTGCCACTCCGTGGATTTTCTCTTATTTGTTTTGCAAAAGCACTTCCTTTCATTTCTCCACCTCACCCACAGGTACCTGAATTTCTGCTTGTGAAATAGCGCTTCCTTGCTCTGCCTTGATCTACGGTCGTGATCGAAATGCTGCAACAAGCCGGCTTATGTATGTGCATGAGATCCACAAGGCACGTTGCATTGACTATTTATGGCAGAAAGTGGGCGTGGTGGGGGCGGCATGTGACTAAAAAGCAGCTGAGAAACATTCTCGTTAGTCTCAGATTTATGAAGCGGACATTGCGTGCAGCTGTGCGTACTCCATGTTTGATAGATCACAAACCTTTTTGGCGTAAGTAAATTTTTTTTGCTGAGCTTAAGTACGGTTTTAGTGAGGATTCTAGGCAATGTTTGATAAATGAGACCCCTACTGAATAAAATCAGGTGTGTTGAAACAAGGAAAACACAAAATCATGTAGAATAGCGGCCCTCAAAGACCAGGATTGCCCACCCCTGCCTTGGATTATCAGTGTCATTGACATTTTCATAAGGCAGTTTGGATCCACATGCTTTCTATTTATTTTTACTGAGGAAGAATATCCTGTTATTTTAATTTTAATGACATTTGGTGACCAGACATAAAAAAAACATTGTGTAAAATTTGGATCCTTGACACGCCCCACCAACACCCCCCATCACTGTTGATGGACATAAAATGATCTGTTGGGGTGCAGGCAGCTCTGACCAAGACAGGAAGTCACTGAACAAGCTACTTGATAAAGCTAGCTTGGTTCTGGGCTGCCAACGTTGAGGAGATGTGTGAAAGAAAGATGCTGGGGAAGATGAGCTCCATCTTGGAGAACCCCTCTCACCCACTGCATTCCTCTGTGGAGACCATGGACAGCTCCTTCAGCAGCAGACTGAGTCACCAAAGATATAAAGCAGAACGCTACCGTAGGTCATTCATCCCCTCTGCAGTACGAGTGTATAAAGCCTGGTTTATGCTTCTCCGTCAGCTCCGCAAGGGACAGACACGCACGGATTGACGGAAGCGTTTTGCTCTCATACTTCTCCGTCTCCTGGAGAGTGTTGCAAAGCAATTGCCCGGCAGGACAGCAGAGGGCGTAGTGCTGTTCTGTTGTATCCTGTCATGTATCGGTCCAAGATCGTGTGTTTATATTGTGTTTTTTGTGTATATAAGAGACTTTTAACACGGACATATTCTTCTCTCATTCTCCCACCTCTTCATGCGCTCCCCACCTCTAAACCCACGTTTCCTGTCATTTCCGTCCACAAATAAAACGCTTGCTGTGCATCTTTTCACTCCTCCAGTCACGGGAGAATTAAACGTTCATATTTTTAGAGTTTTTTCGCGAGGTATTCTTCAAGCTTCTCCGTGTCTGCCGCTAGTTATCCTCAGCTCTCTTTGCAATGGCGGCGCTGTAAACAACAGCGGCGTCCTGACCAATCACAAGCTTGCGTAATCCGTTTTGTTCGACGGATGTTTAAAAAAGTGGGCTCGACTCCGTACGTACTTGCGTGCCTGCCGGAGCCCTACGCAGGGACGGATAATGGCGTTGCGTGTCTCCGCACTGACGCAGACGGAGAAGCATAAATCAGGCTTTACTCCTCAGTTTAACTGGTACTGGCATTACCCTGTCACACAATAACATCAATGTGATATTCAGTATGTGTTCAATATGATGAACATTAATATGCCTGCGTTTCTTATGCTGCAAAGACCTTGAAACAAACGTTTCCTTTTATCTTTTGGTTTTGGTGATTGACGGTTGCAATAATGGCTTACTGTTTTTGTGAGTTTCCCTGTAATCTTATTATTATTTGTCTTCCTTTTCACCAACTGTTTGTGCCGCTGTAACGAGTGAATTTCCCCAGTGTGGGATGAATAAAGTCTATTCTATTCTACTCTATTCTAAAGCTAGTTCTCTGAACCGAGGCTGCCAAGGAAGCCATCTATGAGTAAGCAGTAGATATTTGCACCATTTACACATAAACGAAGTTGCAAATGGCCAGGGATCTTCTTTAAAGACTACAAATGGGGAATCCATATTTTTAAGAGGAGGCTGGTAGATCAAAGAACTGAAAAACAAATGAATGTTATGCAATGCATGAAAGATTAAAAATCCTCCTGTGCACTCTTGAGCAGATCTAATTAATTTATAAACACAGGACGGAGACCACAGTGAGCCATCAACAATTGGTTTCAGTGTGGAGAAGCAACACGACCCTCGTGTTCCTCAGAAGTCCAAAACAGTTTTCCATCCAGGAGCTTCGTTAGCTGGGGGCTAATCAGATGCCGGTGAATAACGGCACGTTCTGACAAAGTCAGTAGCCCGGGATTTAAAAAGAAAAATAATCATCTGACAACCGCCAGCAGGACGCCATTCCTAAAATACTATGAAGATAACGGTGCCACTTAATCAGGACACAGTGTTCCAGGCCAATCACAAGTGAGTGCAATACATTTGAAGAGTCCACAGAAACTACAAAAGACAAAAAAAGTCTCCAAACTCCAAAACCCATTAAATAGACATTAGTTGTCTTTCATAGATTCGGGCACAGACAACTTCATTCGATAATTACCCTGCAATCATGTAATAAGAGAGACTCGGTGATGAGCTCTCCTGACAGCTATCATCCACACAATGGTAAAGAGACAGTGAGATAAAGTGATGAGGAAGGACAGAGGAGAGAAGGAGGGACGGCAGGTATGTAGAAATATGGAAGGATTAGGGGATAATAAAAAAGGGGGGAAATCTAAAAAAAACCAGTAAAAAGGAGAAGGTTAATAAAAAGCAGATAATGGAACGCGGTGGCAAAGGAACACAGGAATAAGGTGAAAGAGGAAGAATGCAGAAACCTCCAGGTTAATAAAACAGAGCAAGCACAAAGCAGAAGACGGATTAAGTAGGCCATGGCCTGGCTGACAGA